CTGATGTTTTAAATGTTTTTCCTCCAGCCCAGTGAGTCAGAAGTGGCACTTCGGAGACCCCCCCCCCTCTCTTCTCCCCCCCGGTGTCTCGGCGTGGCGTTTCGGGGCTCCGGTGTGCCGGCATTACGCTCTCACACACACGGCCGTAATTGATTTCTTTAATTTGCTTCAAGAGAAACTGTTGTCAGCCAACCAAGCAGCCATTTTTCAGGCCACTTTAATTAAATGCCAGGTCTTTAGGTGTGATATGAAATTCGTTTGGCTGCTCTGATCTTCTACTCCTCAGACAATTCATTAACATTTTCCTTTTCTGCCTTTATGTTTTACACAAAGCTTCGGAAAAAAAAAAAAAAAAAAAAAAAAAAACAAATCAATGACATTTCCATTCTCGCGCCGTACATTCAATCATTAATTCGAGTGCATTTAAACTGGAGATTAAACGCACTGTGGCTGTTTCACGTGAGATAAAACCCGGGGTTTGCAGAGCTTCAGAGAAATTCATTGGAATAATAAAGCAGGCCACCAGCTGGATTATTCTTTTTTTTTTTTTTTACTATCCCAGGCTCTGTTTCTCCATTGATTTTTCACTGTTTCGGGTCACTAAAATGTACCAGAAGACATTTGGACATAATTAACTTCAGCAAACGTCCATATTCTGCCTTCTTTTTCCCACCGGCCACATTCATCTACATCTGTGGTAATCAGATTTCCACCCGATGGCCTTTGTTTCCTTTCATTTCACAACTCAGAAGTCCCTGTTATCCGTCAGGAATTATGGGTTTAATACCTCTAAAATGTGGGTAAAGCAGTAAAGCATGGCAGGTGTCCGTAATTTACCTAACACCTAATTTACTGTAACAGGAGGGTAGCAGCAGTGGTAGAGAAAGTACTCATACAATGTACTTAAGTAAAAGTACAAATACACAGACAAAAAATTACTCAAGTAAAAGTCAAAGTTCCACATTATCATTTTACTTAAGTAAAAGTAAGAAAGTACAAGCTTTTAAAACTACTTAAGTATTAAAAGTAAAAGTACTTGCCAACCATAATACCTTATATAATGTCATTAAGTGTACCTATCGTATTTAGTTTTAATAAATCAGTAATGTACCATTTTAATGAGCAATGCTGCAGATAAAGCATGTTTTTATTGTGTTTACCCCCTGTGACAGTTTAGATTTAGATATTTTATGCAGGTCCTGGTACTGTGCTGCTCTTCTTGAGGGAGGGCCTAATGGTTATTTCCCGCTTTGGATTGGTTCAGCGGACTGATTCTGCTCTCGCCATTGGATACTTTCAAACTAACGAACAAATAAAAAAAAAACGAAATGCGTCTTGGATGTAACGAGTAACGAAACGCTGTATAGAAATGTAGTGAAGTAGAAAGTACAGATACTTACTGTTAAATGTAGTGGAGTAAAAGTAGAAAGTATCCATTATTAAATCTACTTAAGTAAAGTACAGATACACGGAAATTGTACTTAAGTACTTAAGTTACTTCCCACCACTGGGCAGCAGGCACACCTCCCTAATAATATCCCGATGCATCACCACTCGTTCTGACTCACAGATCTCCTAAAAGGCCCGTTTCCACTCATCCTCTCCGAGTGGCCTTCCTCTTCTCGCCTCCCACCACATGCCTCCTCCTATCTCTGCTCCTCAGCCTAAATACCCACATCGCCCCATCGTTGTGTAAGTTTTCTTCATTTGAAACCGCTAACTACTCTGCAAAAACAGACCTACTAGAAAGAAGCAAAATATTCTTAAATTCAATCAAATTATCTTGTATCTAGCAAAAAAAATCTGCCAATGGGGTAAGCTTTTTTTTACTTGACAAGAATTCTTGAAATAAGCACAAAATTCTTGCCTCTGACAGACTAAAGTGGGCCTTAAAACTAGACAGAAAATCTTAAATTTAAGTAAATTCTTCTATAAAAAGGCAATGAAAACCCATTTATTCAAGATTAATTTACTTAAGATAAGAATTTTGGTCTCTTGACTGAGTTAACTTTAAGAAATGACACCTTAATCTAGGACTAATAATAAGTATAAAAGTAGTTAAAATAAGACACAATTTCTTCAAATAGCATTATTATTATCTTATTATCTTGTTTAGCTTTATTCACTCTGTTTGGGCAGAAGTGATCCATCTATAACGATCCGAGTCATTTTGAAGAGGAAAAAAAAAAGGTTTTCATCGATTGTGGAAGGCTTTATGTTTGTTTAAGCCCTTCTTTGACCTTTGACCTTTGGCTTTTAATGTCATATGAATGCACCAAACAATGTTTTTTTTCTTCTTTTTTTCTGGATGGCTTGAAACTAGTCCACAGACTAACACGTCTTGGTTCAGTTATTGTCAGAATATTTTAACCCTGTAATGCCGAATGTTTAATATTTGATGCATAAGGTTTCTGAAATGTTTTGCGTCTGACACCTTTTGCATAATTTAATGGTAAAAACTTTGCTCAAAATCCTATTGTACACAATTAGATACACCTGATAACAGGGGGCAGATGACTATACAAAAAATAATCTTAACTTATCGCATCATAATAAATTATTAATATAAAAAATATATTTCTGTTTTTTCTTTTTACATATTTTGTTAAAAGGCCAAATAAAGACTTAAAACAAAAAAAAAGTAATTTTCTGTTTAGTTTTATTCTTGGATCAGGCTTTAAAGGGTTAAGCTTCGTGCTGCCTTCTGTAGGTTTAGTTTCACTCAAGCCTCAAACATTAATTTCCTTTTTGTTTAGACGCAAAGATGCTAGTTTTTAGGTGATAAACCTGGTTCGGGGTCACCTCACATCTGGACTGAATGGAGTCAGCTGAAGAGGGCAGGACTGTTGGAAACCTTTTTTATTTGTGGATGCTGAGCGGATGTAAGGAGTCATGACTGTTTTTACCTCCGTTATGATTCGCAAACAAGGAAACAGGGATGTCGGTGACCTGTCAGAGCTTTCCAAAACCCCAAGAAACTTCTGGAATGAGATCCAGACGTGAGAAAACAAAGGGAAAAGCTAAATACAGAACAGGAACGTTTTAAAAACAGCTTTTTCCACTCCTTCACTTAAACTTTCCACATGTTCATCAGCTCATTTCTGCTTTTTTTTTTGCTTGTTTATCCTTAACTCGTTGACTGCCAAAGACGTCTATAGACGTCTTTTATGTTTTTCAACGAGAGTGTCTGGGGGACGATCTGCTAAAGCTTGTCCGTAAATATGGGCTTCTAGACAGAGTATGTAGTAACAAATTGACCCTCTAGGGGGCAGTGCCACTTTTGATGGGAGATGAGCATAGACTGTAGGCAAATAAGAAAAAGGTAATGGTTCTATGAGAGAACATGTCGTCGGTGAGACGCAAGTCGAGGAAGAACGGAATAAGGTAGAAACAAATTATTTTTCCTGATGAAAGAAGAGAGTCTACTCTTTCTTTTGGTGTGTTCGGTGTTTACATAGTCATAGCACAAACTATTCTGTGGCTCTTGAAAAATCAGTCAAAATGCTACAAAAACTCTGGCAGTATGGGACTCTCTGTTCTGAAAATGGCTGGCAGTCAATGAGTTAAATATCCTAAATTAAACAACATTTTGGTTTTCCATCCCTAAAAACTCATCAAACTTAAGTTTATCCGCTTCTTTTTTCCACTTTAAATGCGGCAGAAACGTCTTTGTATCCACCCAGTCCTCTTGGCTGCGACACAATGCCGTCTTGCCCCTTTTGTTGACATTTTCTCTCCACCTCTTCAGAGCTTTGTTAGCACTCAAACATTCTTTATTAACTTTGAGACCTTCGGTGCCTTCTTAGTAGTGTCGAGTGAACTCGGTTGAGTTGGAGAAACATGTCAAGGACCCCTGGCAGCAGGACGCGTAACAGCTCAGGTTCTCGTGGCTTTTCAAAGCGTCTGAATGCTTCTGTCAATTGGATTTGGAGCCTTTTATTTTCCCATAGATTAGGCCAAAGCGTCAAATACTTTTTTTTTTTTTTTCCGAATAGATTTCAGGTTCTGGGTAGAACTCTAAAAGTGAACCAGAAACTTTAAAAAGGTCTGAAAACTTTCCTTTTTTTTTTCTAGTCAGACTTTTTTGCAAAGTTTCCCTGAGATATCATTAATCCAAGGATAAGAGAGTCCTCATCATTCAAACCTCTTTTCTTGTCTAAGTGAAACATGGAGCGCGGTAATGCTTAGGAGGCATCGTTTGTGTATTGTGTTTATCAGTCATAAACCCACACTCTCCTGACAGCTCCTTGAAGCTGCCAGACTCATTTTCTCTGACAGTTAGCATTTTTCAGACTGTCTTTTTTGAGCTCATCATCTGTGACTGCTCATCATCTGTAACTGTGACAGCCGTAATTCTGGGCTGTTTGGCAGATTTTCTCCCCCCTGGTTCATTTCAGAGGTAGAGACGGTAGTTTCCTCCACGATGGGGGGGTTTGGGGGGGGGTGACACATTACAGACTCTCCTGTGAGCTGGACCTCAGAGGGACCTCATGACCAACACAACACGGTGTCTTAATGAACCACATTAATCCAAAATGATCCAATAGAAGAAGATTTCTTAACAGATTTTTAAAATTTCTCTTTATTTCTTTTATATTTCTTTTATTTTTTTTTCTTTTCTTTTCTTTTCTTTTCTTTTTTTATTTAATTTAATTTAATTTAAATTTCTTTAATTTAATTTAATTTAATTTAATTTAATTTAATTTAATTTAATTTGATTTTATTTTTTAATTTAATTTAATTTAATTTAATTTAATTTGTTTTATTTAATGTAATTTTTTTATTTTATTTTACTTTATTTTATTTTGTTTTATTTTGTTTTATTTTTTTTGTTTTATTTTATTCTATTTATTTATTTATTTTTTTTAACAGATTTTAACTCCAGATGTATTTGCTGAATTCAGATCAATGCGTTTGATCAGATTCAGGTGAGATGAAGCGGGGAAACCGGTCTAAACTGGT